AATAAAGAGAAATGGAAAATAAAACAAAACACGATATTGAATGAAAGATATAGAAATTATGATAGTGTCATTATAACAATAAATGAATTAAATTCAAGTATAATGAAAATAAGTAACTGGAAATATTCAATGAAACAATATAAAATTAATAAAAGAAAAAACAAATATAAAATAAGAGTAACAAATAAAAAGAATAAAACCATTCTAATAAATGATATTAATAATGTATATCACAATGAGAATGAAAGTAAATGAATAAAAGAAAAATAAGTATAAGGAAATAATGAAATAAGAGAGAATAATGAATTGAAACAATAAAATAATAAATACAGAAAGTATTAAATTAATTAAAGAAATAAAAAATGAAAATAACAATATAAAAGAAGTTAACAACATTGTTAATAGAAATATGAAGAATGTTATGTAACATTATTTCTAATATATTCAAACATATATTGTAGAAATACTATAAAAAGATAAATAGACATGATTATTCTAAAATAAATAAAGAATAATACAAATTATTTCTATTAATACTTAATTATTAACTTTTTATTTTATTTTTCTTCAGTTGTTTGTAATAAAATAAATAACACTTTAAACCAATAAAGAAATTAAATGTAATGATTTAGTCACTAGCCATAAAATGTACTTCTTTTCTTATTCCATTGGAATTAAGAATTACTATTTCAACATTATCTCCAGTATGTATGTCTCTTTCACAAGCAGAAGTCATCACATCTCTTGCAATGTTTATTGCTTCTTGCTCTCCTAATGGTTCTGTTCTATCTTTTAATAATGAATCAAGTAATGGATATGCTAATTCTTCACCACTACCACTACATGAATATTTTCTTTCTTCAAATGATCCAACAGCATCATAATTATATGTAACTGCTTTCCCTTTACTGTTAATTCCAGCTAACAAGGAAAATGAATAATATGGGAAGAATCGATGTGAATATAATGTATTTGATAATACTTGTGCTACTGACTCTGTTGACATTTCTTTACCATTTTCATATTTATAATTCTTGATGTGTGCTTTGATTTGATCAGTTAATTCTTTTATATCTGCTCTCATTCCACTTCCAGTAAAAACACATTTAGATGTTCTATTTATTAATTTATATTTTTTTTTCATGTAATTCAATTATTAAAGAACAAACAGTGGATATATTTTAGAGTCATTTCTTGTCAATATCATATAATCTCTACTCATACGTGTGTCACTAGCAATCACAACAAAATCTTCTCCTTTTATAACAACACATGTTCTAATAATGAATATACTCTATTTCTTTTATATTAATAATACAAACCCACAATTATCTTCATATGGACTCCATTGGTCTTTATTCTTAGCTTCTCTTACTGGTTGTTGTGTAAACATTTTATTCTTTCCCATTTTCAAGTTTTTTGTTTTTTCTTTTGAAGTTTTTATTTTTTTTTTTATTCTTTTTTGAATAGTATTTTTTATTATTAAAAAAAAACTATTAAAAAACACAATTTGAAATATTCAAAATGCTTTTCTTACTGTGTTTAATCACTTTATCTTATGCACTTGACATTAAAGGAAAGGTTTCAATGATTGGTAAACCACAATTGGTTACTGGTTTGTATGAACTGTCTTTAGAAATTGTGTTTATTTTATAAACAAAATGGATAATAATGTTGTAGATGATTTTGTTGATATTTCTATTGTTATTTTATCCTCTACACAGAGAATTGTTGTTCCACGATATAAAAATGGGACATTCATTGTGTTTGTTGAAAATGACTAATATAAAAAATTACGACTTATATCATTAGAAAGGGATTAGAAGATGGAAAGTATCGAATTTATGTTGAAGGACCTCAATTATTAGAAAATGGGGAAGTTATTGAAATTGTGAATCAAACAGTTATATCAAGAAAATACGATAAATACCATAATTCAGTAAATCTTGTTGGTCATCCAATAGATTTTACAGAAGAAAAAGATTCATTTGATTATTGGTCATTAATTAAAAATCCAATGATTATTATGGCTTTAGTTTCTTTGGGATTAATTGGATTTTCAAAATTAAGCATGTCAGCAATTGATGAAGAAGAAAGTAGAATGATGAAACACCCTGATATCATTCTTCCAAATGGTCAACGTGTAGATCCAACAACACTTGTTCCAAAATTTATTAAAAATTAAATGAATGATTTTTCTTAATAAATAAAATCACAGTTAATTCTTTTAATTAATTCTTTTTTTACTTTATCTTAATATTCTACTTCCATAGCGTTCTTAGATTGGGGTTGAGTCATTTCTATTTCCTTTATCATTGATTTGAATTTCATATAATTTTGTTGGCAAATTAGATGTTGTTGTTTTAACTTCTCTAATTGTAAACGTAATGATTCTTCATTGAAATTAAATACTTTCTCATATTGGTCTGATTCTAACTCTAAAAATCCATCCAATAACCATGATAATAATTGTTCTTCAATTGGATATACCAAAAATGTTTTGATTTTACCAATAATAATTGAAGTCATTCTTGATTTAATTATCTGGAATAATTCTTGTGCAATTGTTGTAACTTTCATCTGGTTAATAGTTTCACATAAATTTTCTTCTTCTTGAATGGTATTAGTATCTTTTTGAAGTTCAACAGAATTAACACATGCTTCAAAATCATCCATTAATTTCTTTAAACATTCCATTTTTAATTTTATAATGAATGATGAATATCCTTGTTTTAAAACATTTAGAAATCCTTCAAATCGAGTTAATCCAATAACTCCACTATCAATAGTATTTGTTTTCATTTCTAATTTAAATAAATCTTCTGGGTTTGATTGGGGTAGTATTGGGTCTTTTGGTGAGTCTTTAATAATGTTAATACAAATATCAAAAAAACGTTCTATCACTTTACTAACATTTTCAACAGCACTTTGCATTAATGGTTCAATTGCAATCTTTGATGCATTCATCACAATTACTCGAGCTGCAAGTTCATCACTTGTCCCCATTCCATATGCTCCTCGAATTTCATCTTCTGTTGGTTCATTACATTTCATTGTATCTAACTTTTTTTCATATGTTTTTAATACTCGTTGAACTTGAGCACCTCCACATAACTTACAATTATCATTTGACCCTGAATTTGGATTTTCTTCTTGGGCTGTTTGTCCATAAATCATTGGATTAATACCACATTTTCCATTTAGTAAATCTTTAATTGTTTTAGCAAATAATTGAATAAATTTAACACTTCTTTTTCTTAATAATGATGGATCAATATGAGTCATTTCTTTTTCCATTTCAATTATTTCATTTTGTGATTTATTTACAAGTCCATTTAATTTATTAAGAGTTGGAATAAGTGCTTCTTTGTATTTCTTTTGTAATAAATTCTCAAGAAATATTTTTGCTCGTGGAAATCCTAATTGTTCATGATACTTTGTTTCATCAAATCCAATTTCAAGTAATTGACGATAATCACTTATATATGAATCAATAATATAATCTGCAAATTGTTCCATTGGAATATTTCTCTTACATGGCAATGAAATAAAAAATGGTTTTTTATCTCCAATAATTAACTCATCTCCATTTAAATAATTTGCAACTGTTTGAGTATCAGTTAATTCTTTTACTCTATTATCAAATTTAGTGTTAATTAAAACAGTTCTATTAAAATTGGGATCAACTTCTTTAACAAGTGGTCTTGAAACTGAATTTGCCCATTCTGTGGTTGATTGTTCTAAACAAACAATTATCCTATTGGAAGGTGTTATAAGTTCTTTCACCATCTGGTCTATATCTTCTTTCAATGTTTCATCCCCTCCTAACCGAAATCCAGGTGTATCAATGATCGTTAAATTACTACATCCACTAAATTCAATTCTTAATATCAATGGTTTATTACTTACACTTGTTCTTCCTGCAACATCACATGTTCGAGATGAAATTTCTTTACTTAGATATTCTACAGCAATTTCCCTTTCTTCAAAAATTCCATTTTCATTTGCAAAACAACACTTTGGCGTACGTTGCTTTGGATTATTAAACATTTGTAAATATAATGGTCTACGAGTTCCTATAGTTGATTCAACTACATTAAACTGAAATCCAACAAGTGCTTCAATAAAACTACTTTTCCCATCACTTTGCATTCCAACAACAACAATTTCTGGTGTTTCAATTGGTATTCCAAGACTTGTTGATAAACTTTGTAAGTCATTAAATAATGAATGAAGTTTATGAACATTTTGATTTGGGTTTGTTAATTTTTCAACTTCTCTTCGTTCATTCTCACTTTTTTCACGAATTTGTCTATACAACTGATCATCAATTTCTCTTCGTTTTCTTTTTATTCCTTTTTGTGTTTGAGACATTAAATCTTCATTTGTTTTTTCTTGTTGAGCAACAAACATTCTCATTAATTGTTGTTGCATTTCAGGTGTTAAATTGGAAAATTGGGTTTGTTGAATATTTGATACTGATTGTTGAATAGGTTGACTTTTTCCAACATTAACTTGTTCACTTTCTTTGGGTTGTTGTTTAAGTTTTTGTACTTTTTCTTCAATATTCTTAGACACTTTTTCTAATTGTTCTTGTGATATGATTTCTTCATGTTCGTTGTTCATCTAAAACTAATCATTATTCTTTTATTCTTTTCTTTTAAATACTTTTTCAAGATTAATAAATAACATGAATAGACATTATCAAGTTCATCAAAACTCAAAAATAAAATTGTTATAAATAACAATTTATAAACTAAACGAAGACGTGGTTAAAAATAATGATGAGTTGTATTCTATCATAAAACAGAAAATAAGAGAAGGAATTTGAAGTAAAAAGAATATAAGGAAATTAAAAAAAAGACTTCTAATCATTCTAGTGAGTCACTTCCAAAACTTAAGAGGGTTTTTGGATAAAAAGAAATATACCTTATTTGCAAAACATGTCATCCACAAACGAAAATATTCCCCAACCAATAGTTCGTGACATTAAGTTATGTCAAAACGAACATATTCCAACAAAAGTCTATAAAACAAGTAATGAAGCAAGTATAGCTGCTGCACATGAAATTATTGATTTAATCAAAGCTAAAAATGGACATGCAGTATTAGGATTAGCTACAGGATCAACTCCAACTGCAATTTATGCTGAACTTATTAGAGCAAATAAAGCTGGAGAAGTTTCATTTAAAGATGTCATAACATTTAATCTTGATGAATATTATCCAATGAAACCAGAACAAATTCAATCATATCATAAGTTTATGAATGAGAATTTGTTTGACCATATTGATATTGATAAAAAGAATATTCATATTCCAGATGGAACTCTTCCAATGGATAAAATTGAAGAGTTTTGTTTAAATTATGAAAAACAAATTAAAGAAGCTGGTGGAATTGATATACAAATATTAGGTATTGGACGTTCTGGTCATATTGGATTTAATGAACCAGGATCTCCAATTACTTCTATAACAAGAAAAATATATTTAGATAGAATTACTCGTTTAGATGCATCAGGTGATTTCTTTGGACTTGAAAATGTTCCACTTCAAGCTATTACTATGGGTGTTGGAAGTATTATGTCTGCTAAAAGAATTTTATTGCTTGCATTTGCAGAAGGTAAAGCTAAAATTATTGCTCGAGCTATTGAAGGCGAATCAACTGAATTATGTGCAGCATCTTTATTACAAAGACATCCAAATACTACTGTTTTTATTGATGAACCTGCTTCTAGTGAATTAACTTATTATAAAAATCCATGGAGTTTAACATTAAAAGATAGCACATTAAATATTCAATATGACAAACCATTAATTAAGAAAGCTGTTGTTTGGTTGAGTAAAGAATGTAACAAACCAATTTTAAGTTTACAAGAAGAAGATTATTATAAACATCATTTGAATGCTCTTTTAGAACAATGTGGAAGTGCTGAAAGTGTTAATTTATTTGTTTTCCAATCTATTCAAGATGCTATTACTGGATGGCCAGCTGGAAAGAGAATTAAACCAACAGAACGTGCATTAAAAGTATTTGACCATCCAACATTAAATAAGAAATCATTATATGATTCATCATTATCAAATCATAAAAGAATTTGTGTCTTTTCACCTCATCCAGATGATGATGTTATTTCTATGGGAGGAACAATTGCTCGTTTATGTGAACAAGGAAATGAAGTTCATACTGTCTACGAAACTAGTGGGGCAATTGCTGTATGGGACGATGACGTAAAGAGATTGACACATTTTGCATGTTTATATTCTAAATTAATTGGAGCTAATACTGAATTGTTTGAGTCAAAAGCCAAAGAGTATAGTGAATTCTTTAAGACTAAAAGTTGTGAAAGTGGATTTAGAGATAATGAAGAAATTCTTGAAATTAAAAGAGTTATTAGAGAAAGTGAAGCTGTTGATGCAAGTGTTCATGCTGGAGTTAAAAGAGAAAATGTTCATTTGTTAAATTTACCATTTTATCAAACAGGAAAAACTGGTAAAAAACCAGTTGGACAAAATGATATTGATATTGTTAAACAAGTTCTTAAACAAGTTAAACCTGAAATCGTATTTGCTGCTGGTGATTTAAGTGATCCACATGGAACACATAGAAAATGTACTCGTGTTGTTTTAAAGGCTTTAGAACAATTAGAAAGTGAAGGAGAAGAATGGGTAAAACAATGTGATATTCTTCTTTATAGAGGAGCATGGCAAGAATGGGAAATTGAACGTGCTGACCTTATTGTTCCAATGAGTCCACAAGAAGTTGTTTTTAAAAGACTTGTTACTTTCAAGCATCAATCACAAAAAGATCTTCCATTATTCCCAGGAGCTGATCCAAGAGAATTTTGGCAAAGAGCTGAAGAAAGAAATAGAAATACTGCTGAACTCTTGTCTAAATTAGGATTTGCTCATTTTGCTGCTGCTGAAGCTTTCGTAAGATATGATAAATCCATGTCTATTTAAAAATCCATTCAATTTAATTTTTTCTTTGCTCTCTAATTATTTTTTTGTTTTTATAACTTTTCACATGTTTCCTGTCATACTTACTCCTTCTTGCATTTTTACTATTTGGAGGAATGCATTTCTTTTTATATTTAATGACCTCCATGTGGCTACTGTTAATTTCTTATCATTAAAAATGTCATTTGCACATCTTATATATTCACCACATTTCTTTTCTTTCAATTCTTTTAAATATCTTTCATTTATTTCATTATTTACCCATTCAAATATTTCCTTTACATCTTGTTTTCTTTCATTTATTTCTATTATATTCATTAATTCATTAAAATTAATATTCTTACCAAATGCTTTCTTCATTCTTTTAATTATTCCATTTGGATTTTCTTTTATTATTTCTATCATTTCTCATATTTCTGTGCTTGATCTCCACTTATATTTTAAATATATTCTTAATAATTCTTTAGCACATTCATCTCTTGCTGACATTATTCATAATCCCAATTCATTTATTTTAACATATAATCTACTTTTGGGAATATTTCTACGGGTACGAAAATTAGCAAAGAAAAAATGCATCTAAATAATTTACAAAAATGAAAAAGATGCAAAAAAATTTGCATCCATAGAATATTCCACTTTATTATATTTTGCTCCTAAAAAAAATAAAAAATAAAAAGTATGATAAATACAGAATATGTAAATATTTATGTTTATATTTTATAATCATTTGTATTCATTTTGTATGAAATATTAATGAAATAGATGATTTGATGAATCATATTTATTTTTATTATTCATATTCTTTTATTTATATGTTATTTATCTATCGTATTTTTATATTTATTTCTCTGTTTATATTATTTATATCATTGTATTCTTCTTATTATCTATATATTATTATATTATTATATTATTCTTATTTTATTATTTTTATGTTTATATTATTTAGATTTTCTTATTGTTATTCTTTTATATTTAAATGTATTTTATTATTTGAATATTCATCTTTATCATTTTTATATTCTTATCATTTTTATATTCTTATCATTTATTCTCTTTTGATTTATATTAATATTAAATTTATCTTTTATACTTTGATTTTATTATTATATCATTGATTATCATTTCTCGTTTTATTTATCATTTATTCTTATTATTCTTTTGTTTTATATTCTATCTATGTTATATATTCATATCATTTTCATTTATATTTTATCACTTATTATATATTATAATAACATAACACATATGATTGAATATATAATAAACATCATGATGAAATTATACATATAAATAATAAACATAAAAAAGAGTAAAATATTTTTCAATAATAAAATATTGTTAATCATTTTACATAATTATATTAGACACTTATTATTGAATAGTTCTAATTTTTACAATAAAAGTACACTTTTTTCATTCTTTTCTTCTTTTATTATCTATTCTATTTTATTACTCTTTATCTTCTTCTACTTTTTCTTAGTTTCATAATTTTATTTTTCATCACCTTCTACTTCTTATGTCTTTTTATTCTTTTATATCTTTCTCTTCTTTTTCCATTATTTGCTTTTTTTCGTTGCCGAGGCTGTGCACTCAACATCACATTTAACTACAAAGTATCACTGAGAGGTTAATTATCTAATTCAACTCTTTTATTCTATTTTCATTTAAATTCTAGAATATAAAAACAAGAACTAGAAAATAAGAATAAGAATATGAGTGAGAAGCAACTTGATATTCAAGTATTTAAAGATTATAGCATTGATTTTACAACTAATGTTCCATTAGTGAATGAAGTTATGGCAAGAGAAGTTATTAAGTACTTGTACAAAGTGGATATGAGTGAGATGAAAATAAAGGATATCCAGAATAATGAAGAAATAGACAAAACAAATGATGATTACGATTATGCTATTCAAATAGGATTGTACTCTCACAATAGTATTTCTAATAAATATATTGTAGGAGGAATGGTAGTTTCTAGTAAGGATAAAGTTCCATATTTGTTTTTAGCTAATTCATATAAAATTTCATATTGGAAGACAGATATAGAGAATTATGATGGAGACTTTTCTATTACTAATAAATCATTTATGGTAGAGAGAAATCTTGGAATAGACATTAAAGGTACATTACATTTACCAAGAAAATCAGCATTTTTATTAGGAAAGTATGAAGATGTTATTTTTGAACAAAGTACTACTGAATATACATTAGGAAGTGATAATGTGTAATATGTATTTGTAAGTGATGAGACTACTACTACTAGTAAAAGAGAGAATGAGAAGAATACTCCTAATCAAGGTATGAGTAGAAGAAGAAAATTATTTAAGAAAGAGATAATTAATTAACAATTAAATGATAATTGAATTCTTTTTAAGAAATAATCAATTAGTTTAAGTAGCATGAACCAGTAGTTTCATTATAATCATAACTTACTATACTGAGAACATTAGAGAAAGTGAAATTACCTAAGATTCTTTGAAGACCAAATGGCATATTATTTAATAATATTTGGAGATAATCATTGTATTCAATAGAAACAATAGGATGATTAATAGTAAGTGATGAATATGAATTTTCACCAAATAAAAAGAAAGAGTCATTAAGATTAAATGATAAACTACTTTCTAAAGGAACTTGAATCTGATTTTCATTTGTATTACAATACATAATAACATCATATTTTGTTTTCTTATCATTGAGTATAAACAAGAATCCTATTCCATAAATCTTTTCATTACTATTAGTATCATCATCATTATTACTATCATCATTAGATAATTTGACATTAAATCTTAAATCATAATTAGCCTTTATTCTAAATAATTCAGTCTTTAAACTAGTCATATCAACATTAATTTGAGAAGTATCACTATTCTCTACTATTGCTGTAGCACTTTTCATATTAGTAGGATCAAATTGAAGAATCTGATCTACTTTATAGACACTAATATTACCAGCATAATCATTTATATCAAAGTTCTTTGCTGTAGGTTTTGGAGTAAGTCCACTTCTTCTTGTGGATGCTATTGCACGTCTTGATCTCATAATTTTTCTTAGTTTTAGTGAAAAATAAAGAAAGAAAGAATAAGAGAAACGATTAATTAGATTCTAGTAATGATATTATTATCATTGAATCTTTGTCTTATAAGAGACTAAAAAAGACATAAAAAGATAGTTACAAGAACAACTATCATTGAAAATAATGGATTCATCATTTCAGCATTATTATCAACATGATTATAATTATAGTCATAATCTAAATTTAATCCTGGTAATTCTTCTTTTGAAGGGTCAATATAAAAATAATTTTTCTGAGTATTTGCAAAACAAATATCTAAATCATTAGTGAAGCTATTAACAAGATTTAAACAATATGAATCAGAGTATTCTTCACCATAAATTGTATTATTTACTATAGTGATATTTAACCATCTTCCATTGTCAGGAAAACATAATTTCTTTTTAGAAAAAATAGTTTGTAAGTTTTTACATCCTTGGTCATGATATGTATAAATGAGAAGATATGAATTCCTAATTTCATCAATAGTAGAATAATTAATTTGAAGTGTACGGTTTTCAATAGGAGCAAATGCATTTTTACAATTTTCCATAGTAGCATAATAAGTGAAATTCATATGTGTATTGTTGTTATAAAAGAAATAAGCAGCATAATCAGTAAAACTAATACAACTATTAAGAGGAAAATAATCAGTTTGATATTCATTGTTAACATATTTAAAGTAATTGTATGGCTTATCCTCATTTATAGAATTAAGTGCATTGTCTTGGGCATCAATAATGTCATAGAGAAATCTTCCTTCAACGTTAATAATTGTTAAAATAATAAAAAAAAACATTAAACAAATCTTAGTGGTAATATATCTTATTTAGTTTAAGCGTATTATTAGATTCTTTTAAAAATAACCATGAATGTTATATATCCCAAATTTAATATAGTCTTAACTTGTAAGAGAGAGTCATAGATAATTCAACAGAGCAAGAACCAGAAGAGAATCTATTTAGAGAGAGATAAATTCCACCTAGAGACACTGTTTGTGATCTTTCTTTAATCAGATTAACATTAGTTAATTGAGAGATGTCGATGTCAGTTAAATTCATTTGAGAATCTAATTGATAATAAGTTAAATAAGGGGATTGAACAGTATAAGAGAATGACTTATTAAATTGATTATTAACTGAGAGTGTAGATTGATTGATGTGATCAATTAATTCATTAATAAGAGGAGTATGAATATATGAGAATGTGATTGTTGAGATCTTGTCGTCATAATTAGTAAGATTAATTTTAAGACTTGTAGGTCTTAAATTTCCATAAGTAGGTTCAATAAAGTCCATTAAATCGATTCTATAATAGTTAGTCAATTGAGTGTCATTAAATTTAATAACTTTTGTTATTGTACTAGTAACAATTTCATCTGTTTTGTCTGTTTTGTCTGTTTTTTGTGTGATTAAATCACCTATTTGTTCAATTTTCTCTTTTTCCTTATTCGAAAAGCTAAACATAAATTAAAATATTAGATCAATTATAAAAACTAGTTATTTCTGAAAAGCTATCAATATATTCAAAGATATTTGTATTAGAATTAGAGTTTGAGTCAGAGTCATGATTAGAACTCATAGCTTGATTAATTGTATAATACTCTAACCATAAATGCATTCGAGTATTAAGAAGTGTCTTTACTTCTTCACTTAGATTATACTTATCAAGTAATTTTTCATTTTCCCATAATTTCTTCAAGAGAGATGAATATTTCTTATTAATTTCATCAGAAACCTTTCTAGGCTTAGATTGTTTAATAGATTGAATAGAAGAAGTGTCATGACTATTATTATTACAATTATTATTATTATTATTATTAGTAGTAGTAGTAGTATTAATAGAAGTAGTAGTATTTTGTTTTTGTTTACGAATATTGTGTTTCAGTAGACGCATTATTAAATGAAAATAAGATGAACTCAAAAAGAAGGAATTGAATAATTAAATAGAATTAGTCATGTGGAGTGTCCTTAAGTATGTTGTCGATGATCCAGATAAAGAGAGTGCAGTAGTTTCTGAATCTATGGAGAAGTCTGATGAAGAGACTTTGAGAGAAAACACCCTTGAGATAATCAAGAAATATGTAGACAAGTACACCGACAATTATATAATCTCGTTGCATTATCTAAGTGTTCCAATAATAATCAGTTATGGAAAAAGAATTCCAGAAAATGAAAAGTTTAGAACAATCAATGAGTATATAGAAACACAAAAGGAGGTGATTAAGATTCTAATGATGGAGAAAGCAGAGTATATAAAAGGATTCTACTTTATCAAAAGAACAATTGAGAGTAGAAAAACCATTCTAGAGTCAGCTGATCAAGATACATTTGAGAGTAGAGCAGCAAGAAGTGGACTTGAGACATACACAATCAATGAATTACGAATGACATGGAAAACTAATAGGTACAAGTATCTAACAAAGGCATTGATTACAAAGACAGAGAAGTTGTATTTACCAAATGAAGACCATCCATTGTACAAGTCATTTACAGACTTTTTGAAGAATACATACAAACGAGGAGTGGATCGATTCAAGACATTCATCTGTGTTGGAAGTACTTACATAGGAAAGAGTGTCTTCTTCACAAAGTTTATTGTTCCTGATGAGTATTACATTTATCATTCAAACAATCTTGAATACAGTAAAATGTCAAATCAGCCACATAAAATATTCCGAATCTTAGATGATATTAATTGGAGTGAAGTGAAAAGTACCGAGTTGAAAGCATTGATGAACAGAAACATCTCGAGTGTTGATATCAAGTATGGGTATGAATACATCTTCCCATTGATTCCAATCATCATAGTCAACAAAGAAGATTACATCAATTTCCAGAGACATTTCAGTGACATATGGAAGTTTATTGAACGAAATGCTGTGATTTATCCTGAACAGAAAGAGGAGTGTATAGAAGAAGAAAGACCGATCTTCACACAAAAAGAAGTGAGAGGAGAATACAAGTATCTTTTTGATTCGATTATTCCAGTCAATGAGTTAAAGGAGTGTGATACAGTCAATATGAATGAATGGATTAAAAAGGAGTTAAATGAAAAGCATGGATATATCTATGACATTCAGAAGTACATCCAATTACCAAGTGAGAAAGAGATTAAACTTCCCAATCCAGAAAGACAGAAGAGGAAGATTCTTGAAGATTATGAGGAGTATTTAATGAGAAAGAAGAAAGCAATCATTGAGTCAGAAATCCAAAGAGTCTCAAATCGAAGAAGAAGAGAAGATAAAGAACAGAGTGATGAAGAGAAAGACAGAAAATGTGAAGATGAGAGGTATGAAGATGAGAAACTGATAGAGAGTGAGACAGACTATAGCACCACTAATTCAGAAGATGAATACTCAGGAGAAGACAAAGAAGAAACAGATACGGAAGAAGTAGATGATGGATTCATTGAATTATAATAGAAATATTATTAAATATTTATATACTATTTTTTAGAAAAGAAATTAAAAAAAAACAGTTATGAGTAGCTTTCTAGTAATAACACCAATAAGCTATTATGATGAAGTAAAGGAGTACTTGATGATGAATCGTTACATGACATATATTGTCTCAGCAAAAGACAAGGAAGAAGATAAAGTATATATATATGTGAAGTACACAATAGAGATACCAAAGTTAAATCAGAATATTTCAAAGAGAATAAAAATATACAAAAACAGATATGATTATGATTATGAACGTACGATAAAATACCTTCGTAAGAAAGGAGATATTATAGAACATATCAATAAGATTAGAGACTTTGATAGTGAAATAAGAGAAGAGAAAGAAAGGCCATTAAAGGAAGTGAAAGAAAGGGCAATAATAATGGAAGAAAAAGCGATAATAAAATCAGAGAAGCCAATATTAATAGAAGAGAAGCCAATAGTAAAGGAAGAAGAAATTGATTTGAGTGTTGAAGATTGGATGATTAAGGAAGAGGAAATTGATTTAAGTGTTGAAGATTGGATGATTAAGGAAAAAGAGAAAGTTTTAAGTGTTGAAGATTGGATGATTAAGGAAGAAGAAGAAGATTTTAGTCAGATTGAAATGTCGCAGTTGAAGCAAATCATAAAAGATAAAGAAAAGGAGTTTACAGTCAGAAGAAAAGCTTATGAGAAAGTGAAGAAATATGTAGAAATTCTAGAGAACATTACAGAGTCTACAACAGGGAAGAAAGCACTTCAAGAGATAAAATATGTTCTTTCAGAATATATGCGATATGCAGAAGACATAAGAAATGCTAGAGAAATCTAAAGAATGGGATAATTTACAAATTAGAAAATACAAATTAAAACTATTTTCCAAAAAACGAAGAAAAACAAAAAAGAGTATAACAAGAAAGAGAAAACTCAATTATATTTCATTTATATTTCATTAAATAAGAAATGATTGTTTAATTTGTTTTTATAAAAATAGAATGAGGAATGTTAGATAATACATACTATATCTTTACCATTTGATAATTTTCTATTTATATCTCTAGAAATGTTTTATATAACTATTTGTATCTCTAGAAATGTTTTATATAACAATTTAAAAGGTCATACTGTGACCCGCTATGCAGGTCATACTGTGACCCGCTGAGCAGGTCATACTGTGACCATCAAGCACATTTTTTCATTAATTTTTTTTTTAATTTTTCAAAAATATATATCTAAAGGAAAAAAATGAAAAGAAAAAAAAAGAAAAAAACCATCAGATGGTCATACTGTGACCCGCTATGCAGGTCATACTGTGACCCTTAAATGGTGTTTTATATAACAAAAATGAAATGTTTTATATAACATATCCTATCAATACACAAATAAGAATTTATACAAGAAGTTAAACAATGTTATACAATGTTATACAAATCAACAACTCCCATTTTATATAATGTTTTATACACAAAAAACACATGTGTTTGTTATACACTTCTGATCTCTTATTTCTCATTCATCAATGAATAGTCCAAGAACCAATGATAAGATTGATCTTATAGTCATCCCTTCAGGTCATGTAATTACAGTAGACCTTATTGTTGAAGGTGTTGACAAAAACAATGACATTGAAGAATATGATAGTGAAGATTATGAATATTATTATAATCTTGAAAATGACTCCTTTGAATATGATGATTATCTTGATGATCATAATCTCGATGATTATCTTGATGATTATCTTGACAATTTTAATTGATTTAATGTTTAACAAATTCTCAATTACTTTATTTTTCTACTTTCTTGAAGATAATTTGTGTTGGAGTGGATACTCTATGTATCTCTCTTAATTCTACTTTCTTGAAGACTAGTTTTCCTCTCTCCTCATTGCTTCTTCTTATCTCCTTTTGAATTGCTTCTGAAAAGTCATACTTCTTTACTACTCTTCTATTTCCTGCTATAACACGATCACTACTCATCACATTGACTTCAAGTTCCATGGGAGTTATCTTGTTATTCTCTATCATCAGATATGGATTCTCACTCTTGAAATAGAACTATCTTCTTCTTTCTCCTCTAGTGGAATTGTATCCTCTTCTTCTATTTCTCCTTCTTCTTCTATTTGTGCAATCACATCTTTGATCTCCTTATCTTTGCTCATTAATTCATTCATTATTTGTCTTTCTTCTCTTTCTGTACTTTCATTTGCTATTTTACTCATTAATCGGATTTTCTCTCCTTCAACTACTTCTACTGGATTATTGCTAATAACAACTCTTTTCTTTGGTTTAGTATATGTCATCTCTTCTAAATTCATTACAACTTCTTTGTCTATCTTCTTCATGTCTATTATTCTTGATGCTATACTATTTCCTAATGAAAGAACTTGTATATAATTCTGATTATAATGATTAGCAAATATACTTAATCTTTCTTCTAATGTCATTTTTTGGATTTCTTCTAATTGGTTCAGAAACTGGATTGTTTCTGGATAAATAATTACTCCATCAATTGTCTTTTCACTATTAATACTTGAAATCTCTGGATATCTTCTGTATATTAGATTTCTTAACCAAATATCTTGGTTTAAATCATATCCTAATTTCCCTTGTAATACTTCTAATTCTTTTTGTTGTTTTATCATCTTATCATATGTATCATTTGCTTTATTTCCTCTTTCAATATTGACTCGAATATTCTCTAATACATCTTCAATATACAGAATGCTCATTATGATACTGTACTCAATTTCTACTGTTCTTAATAGAGTCTCATTAATGTATGGTACAATTATTCCTTTGACCCATAGATTTGGTACAAGTCCCTCATTTACATTATCTCCATTTCTTGTGTCTACATAAATCGGATATTTATACTCATTAAAAGCTCCTACTTTCTCAAAATTCTCATTAAATTCTTTTGGAAGGACATTTAAATTAAACATGTATCTTAACATTATAGACATTATATATATTGTTGCTAATCCTTTGATTTTAATTTCTTTATCAGTAAACATTGGATTGTTTTTATTAATTAGTTGATACAGTAATATTACTAATTGGATTGTTGATTCACTAAAGACTGGATCTTCGTTTTCTTTATAATAATTATTAATTCTTTCTCTTGTTTTGTTAATTATACCTTTTTCTATCTTGAATATTTTGATTGCTGTATATGAATCTAATAAATTATTTAAATTATCAATACTTGGTTTTTTAATAAATTTTAATGTATTCACAACTGCTCCTGATTTTATATTATTAACTATTGTACTTCCTGATAGAATCCTATTTAATTGGATTAATTGGTTTTTAGTAAGTAATTCTTTGACATCATCTTTAATCCCTGATATAATAGATAGAGTATTCGAATTATAACTCATTGATTCTAAACTTTTAAGTTCTTTTCTAAAATTATTCAATTAATTCGCTGTTTTCATTAGATTTGTTATTATTAATGTCTTCTTGAATTTCTTTTTGGCTTTGTGCTTCTATTCTTCTTCTCCCTTTCTTCACTTTCTTGTCTTTTGTTAACACCTCTTTCAACCGTTGAACATCTCTTTTTCGACAACAACAGCACATCAAAAGGATAACATTCACAACAACTAAGATCACTATGAAATTTATAAAGATTGAGACACCCCAAAAGATATTGTAGATCTCTTCCATTCTCTCTTTCTATTGCATTTTTGAGTTGCGAGTTTATATGCATTAATCTAAGTTTAATTAACCAATTCATGGAAACTCTACTAACATCTTCAACATTTTCCCCTAATTTCATCTTCTCTGGACTTAATGGAGACATAATAGACTATATCATTTCAAGTTATATGGTTAATATGAATCTTATCAAGATTCACTACTGGCATCCTAATCTTATCATTCATTGTAATAATGCATACAATGACACTCTTGATGATCAGAAATACATCATCTATCATAATCTTAATAATAATGGAATTTATCATGCTAAATTTGTCTTAATTACTACATCTAGAATGCTTAGATTGATTATTATGTCTACTAACATTACAAATCAATTAATTCAAAATTGTTGGAATGATTATTACATTCTCAATATTCCTTTCACATCTACTCCTTCAACTACAAAAAACACTGATCTTCTCAACTTATTCTTTACTACTTATAACATTAATTTAAAAATGTCTTTATCAAATTATGATTGGTCTAATGTTCATGCTATTTTATCAGTGAGTATTCCTAATATTACTTCTCATACAAATTGTTGGAATCATTTATTTCCTACTCAACCTCATGGCTCTTGTATTGTTCAAACTCCAACTGCTATGCTTAATTATAATTTATTGGATACTCTTGGATTAGACAATTCTACCTTTAATTGTCCATTTGATCTTGACTCTCGAAAAAATTCAGATATGTCTTATTTTCTTATTAATAACTTAGATAAAAATACTCTCTATAAATTAAATTATATTCACTCTTCACTTCCTTATCACTTTAAACGCTATTTCATCCATACTCTTAATCCTCTTGCTGATTGGTTCATTCTTACTTCGGCTAATCTTACTTATTATGCTTGGGGCTCTAAATATTCCCCATCTAGAAATGCTGAATTAGGTGTGATCTGGAAATTCTCAGATGTACAGAAGAAATCTAAAGAACAAAAAGTCTAATGACCATCAATGTCATTCTGCTATTATTAAAGATGAGAATGATCCTCATTGGGTATACAATTCTACAGGTAGTGGACGCCATTTCTTTCACTTTGACTTTAAACAGGACATTAATTTGAAAGATGTTCCATTATCTATTGTTGATGATAATATACCATCTTTATCTGATGATGTTATTGTTTTTGCATTTAATAGAGATACTGGAACAACAAACATTACTTTGATAGTAGAAGGAGAAATGTCTCTTCTTAAATTTAAGGTCAATGGCAAAGAATTTGATATGAATAAGATACAATTCTATTGTAATTGTCTTTTCAAAAAAGACTCTACTTTAATTTTTAGTAAAACAGATATTTTTTATACAAACAATCCAGATAAGTATAAAGTTTATATGAATGAACCAGTTACAATTAAAACACAAGAAGGACAAATAATAGAAAATCCATTTGCTAATGCTTATATGGAAATAACTTATACAGATAAGAGTCAATTAGAAGAAGTGGAAAAAAATGGAGAAAATGTTTATTCTACTAAACAAGCATCACTCATTAAATTTGACATGAATGAAGACATAGAACTTGATAAGATCCTTCATGTTTATTCATTTGGTTTTATTACTAATAAAAACATTACTATGACAAACAAAAAAAGTAATAGAATAGTAGTATTTTGTGATACAACTATAAATAATTATAAGAAGGAGGGAGATAGTGAATTTACTAAGAGTAGTGATACAGACTCTGTTCAAATAAATGATGCAATGATATGTAGTGCAGGATATCTTACTGTTAAAAATCTCAAATTAAAGAATTGTACATTTGATATTAGAACAACTACAGATGATCAATCACTAGGAAATAGTTTAGTATCAGGTATGAGCATAGTAGATTGTACTTTTCTCACAAAACAGAAAATAGAGGCATATGAGAATGACTCTATTTATATTAGTGACAATCTAAAAGCATTTAAGAGTAATACATTTCTAGAAGGAATTCTCTTAGATAATAGACTAAGTCTTGATAAGGTAGAAGGAAAGTTTCTAATCAAAGGAGATGTAAGTACTTATGATAACAATAGTCCTGATTCACAATATGGATACATTGATATAGTAGAGAATAATTCTGAAAACCAACTCAAAGTAGAAAGACGCACACTACATGATGATATGTCTCCATATAACATAGATTTAGATTTAGAGAAATATACTCAAGTTGTATTAGATGACATCAACAAAGGAAGTATGTATACAAGTAAGTTATACTCAGACAAGACATCATATCTTCAATGGTTATGTGAATGTCAAACAAAGTGTATTAAAGGAGTTATAATAATGGAAAAAGAAAGAAGTAATATTAATCAATTTATAGAAAATAATAAGAATAAATATGATATTATTGTTAGTGAAATCTCTGTTGAGAACCAAGGTATTAATTTACCTTTTATTGATTGGAACAGTTATAATAATATTCAAAGTGCAGCACTACATTATACTCGTTCTGAAAATAATGATTTAGATGATTCATACTATACAAAATATGCACAAATTGCATTTATGGGGGAATTGATTTCACATGCACTTAACTCAGATGACTCTCGTTTTAACTATTATAATACTTTAATTGAAATTAAAGATACAAGTCTAAAAAGTTATCTTGATGTATTAAAAGATTTATTAAATTTAAATGAACCTCAAGATAAGAATAATTTTTATTTAAAAGAATCACTTGTAAAAAAATGTTTCCCTTCTAACTTTAAATATGATGAAAGTAAAGATACAATTACTAACTTAAAGAATCTTCTAACAGTAAGAGGAATTCCTGCATCAAAATATATGGCTGATATTTATCTTCACTATTTAACAAATGGAGATTTTAAGAGTATAGATAAAGACACAAAAATTATATTTGCAAATGGTACTAAAATGACATTTAGTGAATATATTGTAAAAATTAGAAGTGATCTAGATATAGTATCTGATGTAATTGTTGAGAATGACATTCAATATTTCCAATCATGGGAGGATATTACAGGAGATCCACAGTACAGTCCAGTCAGTGCAAAGGCATCATTAGAGGAGATACTCCAAACAAAGGATATTAATGAAATGAAGAGATTGTTGAATGAATGGCAATATAAATGCATGTATTTATCATACAAGAATGGAAGTGTTATATTCACAAAAGATATTGTAGGAAATAATGTTACATTTAGTCTTAGTAAAGGAGAGGAAACACTCTTTATTGATGATCTACTCAATATGACTACATTTAAGGATTATAGTGATTATACTATTAATGCAGTTGATTATAAAATTCAGAGAAAGAAAGAAAATAAGGACATTTACATTTTGAATGATGAAGATCAGAATGTTAAGAATGGATGGGTTTACACTGACAAAATCTATAGACTCATGATGAAGTACTTTAATGGAAGTAGAATAGATGACAAACCACCCGAAAGTACAATGAGTAATGAAGAGATGGCTAACATTATGACATTAATAAGTACAAGATTAACTACAGAAGATGAAGAAAAAGAAGGACTTATTGAGATTCTAGATAAGATAGAAGAAGCAATGAATATTATTTATACAAAAGAACAGAAATATGATAGAGAAGATGTCAATTATAGTCATAAAGAATATCAAAAGATAAGAAATGGATTTGAAGAATGGAGAAACTATTATATTCCTAGTCCAAGTGAGTATTTCAAAACAGCAGAAATTATGATATGGAGACCAATTGAATTAGAAATGAAAAGTGTAGAAGAAATTAGGAATGAAAAATATGATCCTCAATATATTATAGATTATTACAATAATATAGAAGAGAAGTATAAAGAAGAAAAGAAAAAGAAATGGGTTATTAATGAACAAGATGAAAAGAATGTAGAGGTAATTATATTTGAAGATGCTAGCGATAGTGAATATGGAGAAATGATGAATGAAATTCAAGGAGCAAGAAATAGACTTCAAAGATATGATTCACCTAATAAATTAATTGTTATAATGGGAACAAATTATGGAGATATCTATAGTGTATTTGGAAAAGAAGATCTTATTAATGTAGTACCTATTGAAACATTCTTTAGAATTAAAAATACAAATGACATAATTTATATTCCATATGATAAAAGAGATAGTGATACAAATTGGGCAATAGATAAATGGCTCTTTACTAACTTGTATGACTTTATCTTTGAGCCTATGATGTATTATATCAATGATTCATCTCCATTTAAAGGATTACTAGAAAGTATCAATGACATTCGATACTTAGGATATGTTATGATTAAGCAGGAAGAAAAGGGAATGAATATTAAATAAGAAGAAATAAATGAATTATTTTTCGTCAATTTCATCTATTATTTCATTTAGAAAATCATCATCATTATCGTTGTCATTAATTTCTTTAACTGATATAGTCTTAAGAGAGTCATCAGTTTCTTTTAAGGGAATCTTATCATTGTTAAATACATTAGTATTAGTATTAGTAGTAGTAGTAGTAGTAGTAGTATTAGGAATAGTCATAGTACTAGTAGAAAGATCCTCTAACAAATGAAACTCTTTAACAACATTTTGATTCAAGTGATGAGATTGTTCAATAAGAATAGGATCTGTACCTTTTATACTGAGATTTTTCTCTTTTAATTCATCCAAGAATAATTCAGTTTGACCCATATTTTCCATTATTTCAGCATTAACACTATTAATAGAAAGAAAACATTGAAAAGCTTGAGACAATAATAGACGAGTAAACCAAGTTTTGTGAGATTTCATAGCATTAAAATAATTTGAAGAAGTAATTTTTTGTTCAAAGAATTTAGTAGTATAGCCATCAGTTTCATAATGTGTACCATTTGCTAGCCATAAGACTAATTTTCCATGAATAGTAAATATCCCATTTTTTTCAATAGAATCGATTCTTTCCATTATTTCCCAATTACCAGGACCAAGAAGATTATTGAGAATTAGAGTACAAACAGGAGTAGGTAACCACATCATTTTATTTCCTTTAAGATTACCTTTTAGAAAGATATTGTTATCTATATCAAAGTATCGCATTAATTCAATACTATTCATTTGAAGGATATCAAAGATAGTTTGATCGACATATAAACCATTTAATTTTCTAATTATATGAGATTCATTAAATTGAAGAATTTTGTTATACATAGCACCAGAGAGAAGATTTTCATTAAACATTTTATTTAAGAAGTCTACATTGATAGGAGGACTGAACATTTTAACTAATTGTTTAGAACCCATTAATTTCATTCTTTCTAATTGAATAGTGTATTTATTATGATCGAAGTATTCATCAATGAAATCAAAGACTTCTTTTTTATTTTGGGTATGGTTAAGAGTACTAATTCTACTCTTTAAATCACGTTTAAGTTTTTCTTGATAAGTAGGAATATTAATTTTTGGTTTCTTAGGATTAGTGGTGTTATTAACATTTGTGAGACTCATAATGAAAAGAGAAAAATAATAGATTCATAGGAATAAAGAAATAATAAAACATTAATTAGAATCTAATAGTAAAGTATGTTGAAAATTTGTAAAAGAGAATTCTTCTAATTGAACGTCATCTTGATTAATATTAGTATCTGGATCAGTGTTATTAACATTTAGAGCAACTAGATTATCAATAGAGAAATTAAAAGTATCCAATTGATTGACTTTAGGAAGACTTTTTTCAGAAGACAATAGAGAGGAATCATTTAAGAAAGCTACTATTCCAGTATCATTTCCAGAAAACATTATATTAACAAAGAGTGGATTTTGTAGAACAAGAAGATGATTATTAGAATTGAATTGTGTTTTGAGATGATTAAATATAGTGATAGCAGGATTATGAACAAATAGCATTAAATCATTTTTTGATTTAAGTTCAGAAATGAAAGTATTTTGTTGAGTATAAACTCTAAAGTTAAAGTTAATAGAGAGAATTCCTTCAGGATAAGTGTATCTAATAAGAATCCCAACATTAGTCAAGAATTGACACAAATATTTGAAAGTAGATTCTAATGAGTATCTATACCCTTTAAGTCTAGTTAAAGAGATTAAATTTGTAGTGAGTTGTTTATAAATAGAGATATTCAAAGGTGTTTTAATATCTCCAATAAAATAAACAGAAGAAACAGGATACATGATATGAATCTTATCTTTTTGAGCATTAATATCAGTAAGAACAATTTGAAAATGATAAATTTGTTGAATTAAATGATATAAAAAATAAATGTCAGTATGAATATTTCTTTCAGTGATAGACTTTCTAAGTTGTTCTACGTATTTTTGTTTTGTTGTCTTTTTAAACCATTGGTCAATTTTATGAGGAATGTTTGTTTTATTAGTAGACATTGAATATTTAAAGAGATAAGAACTGAAAAAAGAAATATGAGTGTAGAGAAAGGAGGTATATTTGAAGAGACGGTAAGAAAGGCAATAGAAGGGAAGAACATCTTTTTGTGGGGAAAAACTGGGACAGGAAAGACATTTACAGCAAATGAAGTTTGTAAAAGAGTAGGACAAATAATTCCCTATAATAAAAGTACAAGTAAATTATGGAGAAATTATAAAAAACAAAAAGTAGTTTTATTAGATGATATTGATAAAGATAGTGTTAATTATATTAAAAGTAGTATATTTACATGGGGAGATTATTATAATTTTGAAGCACAAATAAGTAGTAAAGAAGATGATACTATTATAATTAATCCAGTTAATTATACATTAATAATTACATCTACATTTAGTCCAGAAGAATTGTTTGAATTTAAGAGTAGTTATGAAGTAGAGAAATTCCATAGATTATTTAAAGTAGTCCATACAGATGAGAATTATTTAGACTTTTAAACACGAATAATATAATTGAAGAATTTTTAAGAAATCAATTAGATTTAATTTTTAGAGTAGATTGGAGTAATTCTCATCATCAAATGAGTCAAAGGACATTTCTCTTTCATTATTATTAATATTATTATCAATAATCATAAAGGTATTATTTTCATTTTGATTTTCATTTTGATTTTGACTATTATAATGAGTAGAATAATCAGGGATGACAATGTCATAGTCAGACTGGTGTTTATATGTACAAGTCCCACACATATCATAGACCATAGGATTTCTATATTCATCGTCATCGTCATCATTATAAATAGAGAATAGTCTTCTACCAATATAAGTTGATGGAAGTCTGGATGATGGAGTTTTATCAGACATTTGAAGAATGGGAAAATGAGATTAGATTAGATTAGAGGAAAACAAAAATAAAATAAGAAATCAATTATCTTTATCTTTGAGGAAGTATTCCATCCTTGAATAATATCTTTTCAGAATATATTTCTTTGAGAATATCTCTATTTGACATTCCCTTAGGTATATCATAATAGTCTTTGATTTTATAATATCTTAATGTAACATTATTATAAAACCAGATAAAGATTCTAACAGTGTCTTTATCATCTTTATGCATTCGAAATCCAATAAAAGCTCTATATTTATAAGTATTTAAAATATAAGATATTATATCAAAATAATCTTTTTTGTTAGTGATGAAATAATACCTTTTTTGGTATCTTTTATATTCACTAACTCTTTTAGACTTCTTGGGCTTATCATTGGTTCTTGGACTATTCATTGATGAATGAGAAATAAGAGATCAGAAGTGTATAACAAACACATGTGTTTTTTGTGTATAAAACATTATATAAAATGGGAGTTGTTGATTTGTATAACATTGTATAACATTGTTTAACTTCTTGTATAAATTCTTATTTGTGTATTGATAGGATATGTTATATAAAACATTTCATTTTTGTTATATAAAACACCATTTAAGGGTCACAGTATGACCTGCATAGCGGGTCACAGTATGACCATCTGATGGTTTTTTTCTTTTTTTTTCTTTTCATTTTTTTCCTTTAGATATATATTTTTGAAAAATTAAAAAAAAAATTAATGAAAAAATGTGCTTGATGGTCACAGTATGACCTGCTCAGCGGGTCACAGTATGACCTGCATAGCGGGTCACAGTATGACCTTTTAAATTGTTATATAAAACATTTCTAGAGATACAAATAGTTATATAAAACATTTCTAGAGATATAAATAGAAAATTATCAAATGGTAAAGATATAGTATGTATTATCTAACATTCCTCATTCTATTTTTATAAAAACAAATTAAACAATCATTTCTTATTTAATGAAATATAAATGAAATATAATTGAGTTTTCTCTTTCTTGTTATACTCTTTTTTGTTTTTCTTCGTTTTTTGGAAAATAGTTTTAATTTGTATTTTCCTAATTTGTAAATTATCCCATTCTTTAG